ACGGGGATTCGAACCCGCGACCCTCAGATTGCGAGTCGAGCGCCTTAACCACCTGGCCATGCCGGGTCTGCCCACCGCGAGGATTAAAAACTCTGGTAAGTCCGCAAACTTCCGTTGGCCAGCAGTGGAAAGATTACCAGGTTGCATTTCAAAATTAGGAACTGCTATACCTCATTAATCCGGATTTCTAGTTTGGTTAGTTTAAGTGAACAAACAACTAGATATGAAATAAAAGATAAATCAGTGTTTAAAATATAATAGTCTATATACAAAGGTAATTAAAAGTATGTATTCATATCCTGTAAGTTTTTTGTTATTTGAAACTAAATAGTTACCAGAATTTTATTTATAAATTTACACATAATATTGACTCAATTATTATCATACCCCGTAAGAGGGCGAATTTGCCGAGGAATTTGGGCTCTGTTTTATTTACAGTTGATGTTAACGTCGTCAAAGCTGTAGATTGAAATCAAGAGGTTTGTTAAATAATATAATTTTGCGATTAAATCTTAATTATAGTAAAAAGTGCAGCTTGTACTTATTACTGTTGGAAAGTTACTTTTGCCAGCCTTCTCATTATAGTAATCATTTAGGTTTTTATATTTAATTGGCAGTAGTACTAGCAGAACTTAGAATAGAACTGGAACTTAGTTCAATTAACTACTAGTATTAAGTAAGTTACTTAGTAAGTGTCTCACACTCGGGCAGAGTAAGTTAATCTATCGACAAGGGAATATTTCGTTCTTGCACACCCTCCATTGCGAAAAGTAAAAATTAAGACCCACCTTTTACTTTTTACAACTTGTCAATTCCCCCTTTTAAAGTTAACTAAATAAAAAATAATAATGAGTTATGGCATAAGTCAATTACCAGTTAGGAAGCAAAACTGTCTTAACTAGAGTCTAGCCTGTGGCTTTTCCAAATCTTGTGTTCACTCATCCTAAGATATTCAGGATATAGTTAAAAGAAATAAGAGGCTTGTATCGTATTAAATCCCCAGACAGTCTTGTGAACTTCAAATTTCGATAAGTGTGTTTATGTTTTAAATTTCCCAAGATGGGTAAGCAAGAATAGTCTTGAATGAATAACTGTCCATAGGTCATGTTTTATAAAAAAAAAAATTATGTATACACCTGTTTAGATTTTGACTTATAGGCAACTAAAGTTTGAATTTCTATTTATTTTTCTGTTAATTGAAATTGTTCTGATTTCATTTTTTTTTTAATGTGGCAGAAACTAGAATTGGAAAATTTACCATTTTGTATCACTCAGAATGGATAATCGTAGCTCTAGTTCCGCCCTCCGTCTCAATTCAGCTATGAGACCACCAACCTCACAAAGGCACCCTACATCACAAAGACCCCCTACTACAATTACACCTATGAGTCGAGCAGGACAACCTGGCACAGCATCTCGTCTCATATCGGCCGCTAGTGGTCGACCCGGCACTCGAGGAAGTATAGCTCAGGGAATTGGCCTGTCTGCCCAGATTGCCGTCAACGACCGACCAGTATCACAACAAGGACTTGTTGCTCCAAAAACTGGTTCTCGTGTCCAGCAACGCCAAGTGCAAGATAAATCTTACTTCATTGGGTTGCTGCGAAGTAAGATTTCTGAACTTTCTACCGAGATTTCTCGAATGACTAAAGAGAGTGAGAGCCTATCTCATGAACAGTCTACTTATCTGACTTATGAAAAAAGAGCAGAAGTTTTAGCTTCAGAATTGAAAGATCTGCAAGGAGAATTAGCAGATTATAATCTTCTGGTTGATAAGTTGAACACGGATGCAGAAATGGATGAAGTACAACATGAATACAAAGAATTGAAGGTACATGTTTAAACTGTTGCCTGTAATGTATATAGAAGACACAAAACTTGTGTTTAACTGTTGCCTGTAATGTATATAGAAGACACAAAACTTGTGTTAACTGTTGCCTGTAATGTATATAGAAGACACAAAACTTGTGTTAACTGTTGCCTGTAATGTTATGTTTATATATAATACAAAACTTGTGTTAACTGTTGCCTGTAATGTTATGTTTATATATAACACAAAACTTGTGTTTAACTGTTGCCTGTAATGTTATGTATATTGAAGACACAAAACTTGTGTTAACTGTTGCCTGTAATGTATATAGAAGACACAAAACTTGTGTTTAACTGTTGCCTGTAATATTATGTTTATATATAACACAAACCTTGTGTTTAACTGTTGCATGTAATGTTATGTTTATATATAACACAAAACTTGTGTTTAAATGTTGCTTGTAATGTATATAGAAGACACAAAACTTGTGTTTAACTGTTGCCTGTAATGTTATGTATGAATATTATGAATTAATATTTTCTTGAAAATACTGAATGGAATAATTATTATTTTTTCTTTAGGCCCAAAATGAACAAGAGAGTAAAAACATAGATCTTATCTTTGAAGAACGGCAGGCTAAAGAAGCTATTGTACGGCAACTTGAAGCTGAAATAGATCAAGAGAGATATATGGCTGAGAACTTGATAGCAGCGATGAAACCAGAATTAAAACAGAAGTAATTAATCTGTTTATGTTTATCTGCAATACAGAAAGTAGCAAAATAAGTGTTTAGTCCATGACAGTTTTCCCCGTAGTTCCTCGGTAATGTCAGTGATAAATTATTTTCAGTTTATCTAAAGTTGTTTGATTTAAATTAAGAACACTATGATGAAGTGAATTAGGTCTCGACAAATCCTGATCGCCCTCAGTGATAAATTATTTTCAGTTTATTTAAAGTTGTTTGATTTAAATTAAGAACACTATGATGAAGTGAATCAGGTCTCGACAAATCCTGATTGCCCTCAGTGATAACTTATTTTCAGTTTATTTAAAGTTGTTTGATTTAAATTAAGAACAGTATGATGAAGTGAATCAGGTCTCGACAAATCCTGATCGCTCTCAGTGATAAATTATTTTCAGTTTATTTAAAGTTGTTTGATTTAAATTAAGAACACTATGATGAAATGAATCAGGTCTCGACAAATCCTGATCTCTGTGATGAATAAAAATTTTGTCATCCTAGTATTTTTCTCACATTGTATTTGTGCTTATGGCTTTGTTAAATAGAACTTGAATCTAGAACAATTCTGGACTCTTAGAAGTCTGGAACTATTTTCGCATTCTTTGAGTTCTAAATCAAACTTTGTTTCTTTGATTTTAGTGGTGGATTCATCACTTCTTCATGGGTTCTTCAGGAATCAAGCATTGTGGTTGCATTATACATTACTAATTTTGTGCCATTTTGTTTTTCTTCTTTCTCTCGATTCAACCAATCAGTGTGCAAGTTTAGACTCAGATGGGACCAAAGACAGTTAGTTCAGACAATACTATCAAGTGGTTGTTGATATCATGTGATCATCAGCATGCACTCATTGTTGTGAAAGTAATAAATATTCGTAGCCCCCATTTTCCAGTACAAATAGTCGTGAAGTTAGGTTAGGCACACCAAAAGGCCTTTGCTTATCTTTGTACAGTGTTGTATTGATGATTAGATTAGACCTATTCTGTAACAACCTGGTTAGCCTTACGATATTGTGGTGATTATTTTTATTTTGCTTTCATTCATTGCAGGAATCCACCTAAGTTATAGTTATTTAGTCTACTATTTTAATAATTGCACATATTGAAGTTTAATACTGTATGTCTCGTATCGTAACCACACAACTGACTCAAAATATATTCTCTATCAGACCTGGCTTTTAGATCTGAAAATATTTGTGTGGTGTAAATATCAAACAGTCCCAATGACTGTCTAACAAACCATATCATCTGCAATTTTGACTCAAAAATTTCTGTTTTAGCATGGATTTAGTACAAGAAATCCCACAGAAAGTCATCCAGTACATGGAGGTCCCCTCTTTCCAAGCAACCACAAATAGATATCTAGTTAAGATTTGAATGGATTTCATTCTGTTATAAGGTTTGTTGCAGGATATTTGTTACTAAAACTCTTAAAAATGCACTCTTTAACTAAAGTAAAAAAAATCCTTGGTAGTATACCCCGGTATCCCTGGACAAGCCAGTTTAACTACAGTAAAAAAAATCCTTGGTAGTATACCCCGATATCCCTGGACAAGCCTGTTTAACTACAGTAAAAAAAATCCTCGGTAGTATACCCCAATATCCCTGGACAAGCCAGTTTAACTACAGTAAAAAAAATCCTTGGTAGTATACCCCGATATCCCTGGACAAGCCTGTTTAACTACAGTAAAAAAATCCTCGGTAGTATACCCCGATATCCCTAGACAAGCCCATTTAACTACAGTAAAAAAATATCCTTGGTAGTATACCCCGATATCCCTGGACAAACACGGATGTCTTTGACAGGAGATTACGTATACACAAAAAACACTTGTTAATTGATCAGTCTTGCATCACTGGTTGTAGGTGTCAAGGAGCACATTTAATAGCAGCTTTCTTCAGAGATACACTTGTTAATTGATCAGTCTTGCATCACTGGTTGTAGGTGTCAAGGTGCACATTTAATAATAGCTTTCATCAGAGATGATCATGGAAATCTCATA